AATTCTCTAAATTTCCTAAGTCCCTAAACCTTTAAGTTCGTAAACTAAGTGAAGTAATTCCAAGGCATTCTGGATACTTGTAAGACGTAAGATTCCCTAAGGTTGTAAAGTCTGATGATAAGGAAGTTACTTACTGCAGCAAAAGAACTTAGATAAATTACGTGAAGTAATCAAAGAAGATTATTCCTAATGACACCAATTAGGATATGCTATCTATTTGTATAATAGGTAATAATAAGAATATCCCTATTAATAATCCGATTGAAAACTAGATGTTGTATCCTATCTGCATCATTATTTGTCATCAATCAGAATTACCTGATTTTAAAAAAACAAAAAATTAGGAGACCAATCAGGTCTAATCTGATAACCTATATTTGATCCAATTGGTCTCTTATTTGTTATTATTTGACAGTGTTAATAAATTAAACTACTTACATTATTCAAATAATGAGTGTTGAATTATCTTTCTAAATACGTAACATTGTTCTTTAGCATTTATATTGATTTATTTTATAAACCTAACAGTTACAATACATGTCTTTAATTTTGAGTAGCAAATGGAATTCGATTATTTTGTCAAATGATTTTTATATAATATTTTACCTTTTTTTTTTACATCAAAATAAACTATATAATTTTATTATACTTGTAAAATATTTTTTTGGTACGAATGTTACAACTATTAATTTTTCAACTTTAAAACTCAATCCTTTCTATTACTTTTAGTGGATTACTAAAAAAAAATCCAATTTGCTTATAAACTCAAAATTTTTTTAGAGTAAAATTTAATACAAAATGTTTTTTATTTTTAATAATAAGTATTTTATGAACAGGCAATGTCTTTGAATAAATTTCTTCTTTGTATTAACAAATTAAAAGTTTATCATTTATTGAAAGAATATATTTGATAAACTTACTATTTAATTAAAAGTTTGAAAGGTTTTAGTAAAAATTCTTGAAAAGTATGTCTATTAAAATAAAATTTTCTTTAATATATATATTTATTATTTACTTTTATTTTTATATTTTATTCTAAATATATTATAATACATTTTATTGATATTACAAATATAACTTATTTTTATTTGAATTTTTGAAACACTTAAATTTTTTTTTTACTTGGATAATATAGAATTTCTTTTTTAAATAATCAACTCTAATAATATTAAATAAACTTCTTACTTAACTTTAAAAGGTATTCCACTAATCATAAAAGTATGCTATCAATACAAAAAGTAAAAATCACAAGTCATATAGTATTATAATATAAAAAAAAAAATACTTCAAAGTTAAAAGATACCAAATTCACCAAATTTTTCAACTAATAAAAAAAATGAATAAATATTATATTTTTAGGATAGATAAAATAGAAAGAAAATTTACGACTAAAAATCTTTTATTAAATAAAAATAAAAATGAATTTTTGAATTTTACATAAAAACTATCTGAAAACCCACCTTTATAACCTAAGTAATTCTTTTTTTTCTTGTAAATTTATATATATTTAAAGGAAAAATTTCGCTTCTTGCTTTTAGTTTCTATTAGACTAAATATGAAAGTATACAACTTAATATGCATATCAAATTAAAATTATAAAAGAACTTTAAATTGTATTATTATTAAATGGCCATTCAACCATGACCGACCATTACCATCCCTAGTAATTAATCACCATACAATATCTATATTATCGCTGAGATTTTTTCTAGTTAGTATCTTATTAGATGGTTTGGCAGATATATTAGTAAAGTATACACTTATTTCGTGATTTTTTTCTCAATAAATATAAAGGAGGCAATACGCTTAAACTTTTAGCCAACATATCAAATGAATCATACCAAAATTTGATACAATATTTGTTATCAGATGCGCAGCCACCTTTTCTTTACAGTTAATTCAACCCGAGCTACCTTTATTGTTATTATAAGGTTATTATCAACAAATTTCGCGCGAGAAAAAATAATAGGTATTATTTCAAAATGACTTGTAAGTATCAATTTTCACTATAAAATGAATATTTTCATCAAACAAATTTCAGTTTAAAAAATTCTTTCGCGGCAGTATTATAATATAACAACAATTGAAGCTATTGATTATTATTCTATATTAAATGAAGTTTGCCTTATTCTAAATTTTTATTTAAATATTTAAATAATAGTGAATTATTCTTTAATTACTTTACGTAAAAGGTTGCAACAAATCAAGTATGATGTATTTTTATCGAACTAATATCATTATGATGATCTCAATTTCCCAAGCATAAAGCTTTACACCAATAACATGGTTCGGTACACCCAATCCTTCCCATAACTTTTTATCGTCGGACGGGTTTTGAGGAGGCTCATTTCTTAGAATTTCTTTAGTTGTAAGTTCTTTCTCTATATTTTCACGCAATATTTTTAAATCACTTTCTGTTCCATTGAGGTCCAATTTTAGTCCACATTTTCAACTTGTGACATATAACTGTTTATAAATATTTTTATTTCCTCAAAATTCTGACAACTTGGAATATCCTGTGAAACTTGTTTAAATTCCGCATTAAAAGTATCTTCACATTTTTTTCTTGGTTTTCCACTTGTATGACTATTAACCTGACTTTCGAATCAAGTTTCTATACTCCGTCGTGGATACAAAAAGTATTCTATAGCCTCTTTTTATTACTACTATAAACTTGACTAGCAAGTTCTCCAAAATATTTGAGTCTGATTGTTTCAGCATTGGTTAACCAAGAAATACCAAGCACTTCATCTATTCGTTCACGATTTCTCGCAATCATTGCTTTTTTATGAATAACTTTCAATAAGTAATCCCCAGCAATATGGTCTTCAGAAATTAGCCTATGTTCATATTGAAGCTGAGTATCAATCATCTTTAAATATTCATCTTTCTTTTGATCAAGCATACCGAGTGAAGTATTTTCTTTATCCCATTCTTCTTGAAATTTTATCATTTTTGGTTTAAACCTTAACAAAGTATATAAATGAACGTTCTATTTGAATTCGGGCAAATAATTTGGTGGTGGTGAAATAATATTGGATATTTTCTTTTGAGATCACGAATAATTCCTTGATAAAAATAATAAGCAGCTCTTTCTTTAAAGATTATATTTATTAAATAATCAAGCTTATCCTGAAGAATCTCGAGGTCTTTTGGTTCCAAATATTGTGAAACACGTATGAAATTTTTATATGCTTTGTGATTAGATAAATCTGGGAGAGTATTGGTTTTGTATTTACTATAAACTTCAGAGTTAACATACACCATTACAACCTCTTTATCTATTTCTTTTGCTATCGATATAATATCTTCTCTCAATAATATATGATTTCGCAGTGAATTCCATACTTGTTCAACTTTTTGTTTACGTTCAAAATCGGAAAATTTCCTATTTGGCATATATTTTAGGATATTTTCTAAATTCTTATTGATTATATCAAGTGACTCGGATGAAATACCTTTTCTGATAAAATTAGCTTTAAGCACTTGATCAAGTCCTGCAGATATACGTTTACGATTGAGACTAATGTATTTTCTAATTGTTTGTATAGTTTCCATTTCACACGTTTCATTATTTTTATTTTTAAGATATTCTTCCAAGTCAATTCTTTTTTTATGGGTTTCCTTACATTCTTCACAGGTAGTACTTTGATTATTACAATCTGGAACCTCCTCTAGCTCTTTTTCAATCAAATTTAAACATTTTTCTTGGATTTTATCTTTCTTATCACTCGTGTCAATGTCATTGGGAGACCAATTTTGAAGATTAGAACGAATTTCTTGTTTAATTAATTCTTCATGTTTTTGGAATGACCTGTCAATGGTTTCTTTTAAAGTTGAATTCGTTTGCCAAGATCTATAAATTCATAAATTTCTTTAATATTTTTGAAACGAACAGCAAAATCTTCATGGGAGACTGCATTCCAATAATTCTGAATTAATGAATGCCACTCGGAAAATTCAATTTTGTTTTTAGAATTCTTACAATCTTCAATTATAGAATTATATAAATTGACAACATCCTCATGATATTGCTCTGATGGTCCTTTTCTTATCCTTTCGTCAAGGATTTGAAGACAATCTATATTGGATATTCCCATCTCAATATCTTTTTCTTTGGCTATCTTTAAAGCATCCTTAAGAGCTGCCCGAAATTTTTTTTCTGGTTCAGAAAGTCTTGATACATTTCTTTTTGAAATATGTTGTACCATAAAAATATTGGGTGCCATTCCAGCTTTTTCAAGGCATGCCATTGTCACAATTGCTATCTGTAGAATTTCAGTCAAGTCTCTCATTGATTCTCCAAGAACGTTAAGAATTGTTAAATGGCTTACACCCATTGCATAAGTTACTAAAATTCGATCTTTCTTTTCTGATTCTGGATCATCCATCTTTTCTGGTGCGCCAAGACCTTCAGTATCAATTAAAATAAATACATCGATATTAAGTTTTTCAGATAAATCTTTATCTAAAAATAATAGACGCATAAAAAGACCTCTAGTACAACGTCCGGCTGAAATAGCAAATCTACATGCAAAAAGAGCATTTAATAGGGTGGACTTTCCTGATGATTGTAAGCCAAGTATACTAATTACAAAAATTCTAAGCTTAGGAAATCTTCTACAAATATGTCCACAAATTGCCAAGAACCAAGCTTCAGATATAGATCCGGTATCTCCATCAAGTAATTCTATGGTTTGACCACCAATTAATAACTCTGAATAAAGTTCTGGTAATTTTGTAACAATTTCACTTTCTGGAAAATTAACAGAAAAATTTTGTAAATTTGTCCTAATTCACGGAAAAAGTGCTCTAAACCCAAGCTCATATTATCAACTTCTTCCCAAATTTTTGCAATTTCTTCACGAATTTTTTTTTCATTCTTTTGACCTCTATTGCTCAAACTGGATTTACGTAATTCATTCTTTTTTAATACAGCTTGATTACGAGCTTCAGCAAATTCTATCATAGATATTCTGGAAATTTCTCTTTCAAGATGTGCTAGAGCTCGTCTTTTCACAACAAGAGGTAATTTTAGAATGATTTTATATATTTGTGTTAATTTTTGTAATTCATTATTATTTTGCCAAATTCGAAGACCATCTTCTGATTGTTGTTTCCTTTGAAGTTGAAAAACTTTTAATTTAATGTGACGACATTTTTTGTCCTTAACAAAATTTATCAAATCTTGAGATTCACGAATCTCAATACCTTCAGTCATTTGAAGTGATTTTTCCAATATTAATGTATTATAAATATCAAACATTGAAGTATCTAATGCTTCTTTGAACATGCGAACTTTTTTTAACGTTTTATCTAGCATTAAAAGATTAGTGTCAATTACGTATTTCTTTTTATCTTTGACATTTTGATGATTTACATAACCATATACCACTTTCCTGGAACCAACTAGTTCTTCGAATTCTTTTATTTGATTTTGAGTATACCCAGGCATTAAAAAAACCAAAAAATTAGTAGGAAATTGCCTTAAATATTTAATTTGATTCGGAAATTCTAAAGCATCACCGTGTAAATTTGCAAGAAATACAATTTCTTTATTCGCTCCTTTTTTATAATAGTTTTCAAAAACATCAATACAAGTTTCTTGAGTTAACCAAGTAAATTCAACGCTTCCATCAATCATATGTGGAATTCCATATTCTGCTCGTGGTTCGGAACATGAAGAGAACATAGAATTTGAAGTCATCAATTGATTAAGTATAATGCTTTTTCCTTGAGAATTTGTTCCAATTCGAACTGCAACAATCAATTTGAATGGATAATTGAAAAGATGGTTTTCAACGATCGTTCCAGGTGTAGTTTCCCATTTGATAACTGGACCAGTATACAAAGGAAGCATCACATTAAATTTATCTGCTTCATCTAATTTAGGAATTATTAAGGGAAATGCGATTGGAAACCGAGATAAGGTTCGAAACATATCTTGACCTACGGCACATTCAACGGAAGCAAACAAACTAGCAACACAATCAAATCGAGACAATCGATTTTTCTTTATTAAAGATTCTTCGTCTTCATCCATCAAATCTGAATCTTCATCATCATCATCTTCAATCAAAGTTTTAATATTTTCTGCCTTAAGAATTTCGGCACCCCACATCTTTACTTTCTGTCGAATGTATGGAAGAACTGCAATTATAGTTCTATGTCTTCTAGAAGCCGGTAATCGTGGAGGTTCAATGATTTTGCTGAGTTTAACATGATGATAAGGTTCAATCACAAGTGCCACTTTTCGTGAATTTATTATCAATCATAATACCTTACTATGTGAGAGAAAATCAAAGAATTGGGCGAAATGGCATTTATATATTGGTATACTCATACCTTGTTTGAACCGGATTATCACCAAAAATGAACAATAATTGGTGCAAATAAATCAAAAAATTTTAAAAAATACCATTTTTTTGAAGGCTGGACTTTGTTTTATCAAACGTCTTTTTAAAATTTACATTGAATCCTTTTTTCGCATGCTAGTTCTTCATTTGTCAAATTTGTCAATGAAAATTGCCTTTTAATTCTCGTCATTTATCGCATCTCGCGTTTTAGTTTCTCATGACATAATTTAAACCGATAGTTGTGTAAGCAAACAACTCGAATTTTTTATTCACAAACCAGCTTACAAATAATTTTGTGAATCAAAAAAAAACCGGTTTGTGAATTCAAACGCTAATAAACTTTATGTATTTTTTTTTTTGATCTATTCTTATATTATTTTTTTATTTTTTTTTATTTTATGTCATTTTATCTGTTTGACTAATTTAAAATTATAAATAAGTTATATTTATAAATTAAAAAGAAAGAAAGTATAATATTATTCTTTAAAATTATTATAAAAATACCTACTAATATATTTAAAAATTTGTTAATTTTTAGATCCATAAAAAAATGCTTATTTGAAATTTTCAGTCTTTAGGAATTTCCTGCAATTTGTAACTTTGATAAAGGCAATAACTTTCGTCAATAGATAAAACATGATACGTTTCTATTGAATTTACCCCACAAAAAAATTCACCCACGTGATTTTTTGACAAATTAATTCCAAAGGCAATCTAAAGAGAAATGTGTAAAATTCAGATTTTCTATGTGAAAAATTTATCATATGGGAGGTTTTCTAGGAAAATGGGGCTCTGAGCATTTTTAATCTAACATTATCAAAAATTAAAATGCAATAAAAATTAAAATTTTAATAAAAAATGCTCAGAGCCCCATTTTCCTAGCAAACCTCCCATATGATATTAAACGTTAAGCGCAGAATTATAAGCGCAGGAATGTATGATGATCACACGGTTGTACATGTACATACCGTAAACATGTACATAAACCTTAGCGTAATAAGCGTAATAACTTTTTCTCTGATATTTATTTGAAATCATACCCTTATTCAGCCCTTTCCCACATTTTGTTTCATTAGCATAAATCCAAACGTCATGACGCCAGAAAGAGAAGCTTTATCTTTGCTTGCCAAGGCCGATAAAAAGGCGACAACTTTTAGGTTTTTTGGGGGCAATAATTACGAAGATGCCGCCGAATTGTATATTAAAGCTGCAAATTCTTTTAAACTAGCCAAACGATGTAGGTGTTCTTTTGATTTCGTTATTTTTTTTTTCTTATTTGTCAGAGAAATAGTAAAAACTACAGATAAAGAACAAACTTTTATTATTTTATAGGGAAAGAGGCTGGTGATGCGTTTTCCAAAGCTGCTAACATGCAAATACAACTTAATGAACGTGATGAAGCTTCTTCAACTTTCATCAATGCTTCAAAGTGTTATAAGAAATGTAGTTTTGAAGGTACATTAGAATTTTAAATGGATAATTCATTTTATTATTCGTCTGATCTAATTGTAATCGTTGTTCTTTATTATAGATGCTATCACATCTTTAAAACAGGCTATCGAAATTCTTACAGATAGAGGTAGATTTCAAGCTGCTGCAGGACATCAGAAAGATATTGCCCAGATTTATGAATCTGATCTAGTTGATTTAGAGAAATCAATGCAATCTTATGAAATTGCAGCGGATTGGTATGCTGGAGAGGAGGCGAATGCGTATGTATCCAGAACATTTATTAGTCACAATTTTATAAGGCTTGAGCTAACATATTCATATTTATATTATAGTCTTGCGAATAATTGTCTTCTTAAAGTAGCAACTTTTGCTGCTACATTGGAATTATATGATAAGGCCATTGAAAAATTTGAACAAGTTGCACATGCTAGTCTTGATAATCAGCTTACAAAATGGTCATTAAAAGAGTATTTTTTGAAAGCAGGATTATGTCATATCGTTAATGGGGTACTTCTTTTCATTAAAAATAAAATATTAGTTATTATTATTTTTTTTTTTTTAAAAAAAAAAAATCCATTACATTATTAAATATATCACTTTAATTTTTTAAACGATAGGATTATATAGGAGCCGGTAATGCCATTGAAAGATATAAAGATATGGATGTATCTTTTGCTGGTACTCGAGAATATCAATTTCTTCAGGATATCCTTTCCGCAGTTGAGAATGGGGATGTTGAAACATTTACCAATAGAGTTGTTGACTTTGATCAATTGTCTAAATTGGATAATTGGAAAACGACAATTCTATTACGGATTAAAAAGGGGATTCAGGAAGAACCACTTTTGACTTGAAACAAATACAATTAAAGACAATTTAATTTTAAATTTCTTTTGCCAATTCTATTACGAAAGTTTAGTAGTTTTTTCCTCGGGAATTATTAGTTTTGTTTTTATTTTTATTTTATTTGGAAACGCTAATGTTTGATACATTGGTTGTATTATGTTTTCCCTTAAATTTGAAGAAGTATATTTCACTGATGATTGTAAATTTATGAACCATTATATTATTTTATTTATTTAGTTTTCATTACGTAATTAAAAAAAAAATATACAACATATATATAATTATACACGTATATATTTATATTTAATACTATCAACTATATGATAATATATAGCAACGTTTCTGTAGGTTGACTATTTTTAATACAAGGAAATTTTAGAATGTAAATTCGCGTCTTTCAAGGAAATGAACAGTCAGACAAGAAAGACAATTTAAAAAAGAAATTCAATATAATAAATAAAATAAATGAATGAATTCATATTAAAAAAGAACTCATTTAACTTTTATTATATTCTATTTGTGTATAAATTATTAATCATAATATATGTAATTATAATATTTCATTAATAAATTTAATAACTATAAGTTGGAAAAGAAAAAAGTTCACATTAGTTACAATTATAAATTGATTTCCAAATTTTAAAAGGATTATTTAATACATACCGATAATGATCCGATTTGAATGGACCTTCAGCATCAATTCCAAGGTATTTAGATTGAGCGGGAGTAAGCTTGGTAAGTTTAACTCCTAACTTGTCAAGATGAGCAGCAGCAACTTCTTCATCAAGCTTCTTTGGCAACATATGAACGCCAAGCGGGTAAGAAGCGGTATCGGTCCAAAGAGCGATTTGCGCTAACACTTGGTTTGTAAAGGAATTGCTCATTACAAAACTTGGATGTCCTGTTGCACAACCTAAATTGACTAATCTACCTTCGGCAAGAAGAATAATATTATGCCCATTTTTCAAAGTATAACGATCGACCTGAGGTTTAATGTTAACGTGTTTAACAGCGTTACTCTTTAACCAAGCTACATCGATCTCAATATCAAAATGTCCAATACTTCAGATTTTCCGTATAAATTAAAAATTATATTAGTATCGTATAGATAACAAAAAACAATACAATATACAGGATATAATATCTATAAACACAAATATCTTACTTGCATACAATAGCATCGTTTTTCATCTGTTCGAAATGTTGACCTAAAATAATATCGCGATTACCAGTGGTAGTTACGAAGATATTACCTCGGGAACATGCATCTTCCATGGTTGTAACTTCGAATCCTAAAAGTAAATACATATAAATGACTTAGTAATTTAAATTATAAAATAAATGAACTGTTAAGAACAATTACCTTCCATGGCTGCTTGCAAGGCGTTAATTGGGTCAATTTCAGTGACAATAACACGAGCGCCCATTCCGGTAAAAGCTGCTGAACAGCCTTTACCGACATCACCATAACCTGCAACTACGGCGACTTTACCAGCAATTTGTACGTCGGTAGCACGTTTGATGCCATCGATAAGCGATTCACGGCAACCATAAAGATTATCGAATTTTGATTTAGTGACGGAATCATTTACATTGATAGCAGGCACTTTTAATTTTCCTTCCTTGAGCTTTATATACAAGTGGTGGACACCAGTAGTGGTTTCTTCTGAAATACCCCTAATACCTAGCATTTTTTTTAACAAAAAACAAAAAATTTTCAATCAGAATAAATCCAACAATTAAAAGACGAGAACGATTATAACTGTACTACCTTCTAAAAGTTCGGGGTGTTTGTCGTGGACTAACGAAGTTAAATCACCACCATCATCAAGGATCATGTTAAGGGGCTTTCCATCCTTGAAAGCACAGAGAGTTTGTTCGATACACCAAATGTATTCTTCTTCAGACTCACCCTTCCACGCAAAAACAGGTACACCGGTGGTTGCAATAGCAGCTGCGGCCTGATCTTGTGTAGAAAAGATGTTGCATGAACTCCAAGCAACTTCGGCACCTAGATTAGTGAGTGTCTCTATCAAGACAGCCGTTTGAATTGTCATATGCAAACAACCGGCGATGCGAGCTCCCGTCAAAGGTTTGGTAGAACCGTACTTTTCTCGTAAAGTCATAAGTCCTGGCATTTCACATTCAGCAATTTCGATTTCTTTGCGGCCCCAGGCAGAAAGCGAGATGTCAGCTGTAGTACAAAGGGAATCATTAATCTATAAATCTTTTATCAAATAAAAGTTAAAAAGTATCAATTCAAAATACTTGCCAACTTTATAATTAGACATTTTTTTCTTAATTGAGAGTTGAGGATGGTTAAAATTAAGTGAGCTCGTTAAAGATTAAAGAAAAATATTTTTTTTTTAATCTGAGCACAATTAGATCCAAAAAATTCAATTTAAATTTTTAAGATTTTCTATCGCTATTGGCTTAAAATTTTTTGATTATCTGCATATCTGCATGTCTGCATGCATGGCTTGAAAAAAAATTTTTTTCAAAATGTTTTTGCGACAATTGATACATAGTTCTCGATTATTTATTAGGCGAACTTCTTTTTCTGCGTTCCCCTCAATTTTAATTCGTCATAAGCTGAGAAATGATCGGTCGAATTTTCATTTTGTTAAAAAGGTTATTAATTTTATTAAAGGTTTCTTGATTAATAAAAGGGTTGCTAACACATCCATCCTAATATGGTATGGTATAGAATGTATTTCCAACCGTTTCTACAACCATCGGTATAGTTGGATTATCTTACTGGTATGTTTACAATAAAAATGTTGCCTTAGCTGATGCTCCACAAAAAATTTTTGAGCCTGAAACAACTGGTATTTAATGAAGAAAAAAATAATTTTGCTCTCATTTAAGTTTTGATCGATCGATCAATCGATTAATATTATATATGATGTATACATAAATATAATTTTTTTTTATTTGATGTTAAGAGGAACCTGAAAGCAAAGTACACATTCCAACGTATATTTCATTACATGATGGGACAAAAGCGAGACTTGTTGGATTAGGTATTAGAACTGTTTCATTTTTGAAAATGAAAGTTTATGTTGTCGGAATGTATATTCGTGAAAGTGACATCGATATGTTAAAAAAGTGGAAGGTAAATAATGAAAAAAAGAGATTTTTAAATAGAAAATGTTGCTAAATCCTCTTTGTTGCTTAGGGGTATGATAAAGAAAAGTTCATGTCAGAGGATGATGAATCGATGGCTTTATCAATATTGGATCAGCCTATTGTGATGGCAATTCGTATTGAACCTGTACGAAACACAAGCGGACATCATTTGCGTGACGGTTTCTCGCGCACGATTACTCATAGGATGCAAAATGGATTCATGAGCGAAGAAGAGGCTGAGGATGTGTTAAAAGCAATAAGAGAACTTCAAGCACATTTTCCCAAGTCGGTGGTGAAAACCGGTACAGCTTTAATACTGACAAAAGAAACAAATGGAATTTTAGGAATGGAATATGAGGTATATAATTATTATCTACATATATGCAAATTTCAGCATTATATGATCTTTATGTTAATTTACGAATCAAATTATTTCTAGGGAAAATATATGGGATCAGTGAATAATGTCTGGTTAACTAATAATATATTTATGGGATATCTTGCAGCAAAGGATCCTATTTCTAAAAAGGTGAGTTTAAAAAATATGATCACATGACTAGACGGAAATGTTCAAAAATTTTCAACTTTGCAGGCGAAGAAAAGCATTGCTGATGGATTCGAGGAATTATTAAAATAACCAAGGTAAAATTTTAATGTATTTTTAATATGAAAATCAAAATTAACGATTTTAATGAGTTTTATCTTGAGTAATTTAGGAATCAACGTGTAACCAAAAGGTAAAGGCGATGAATTGATTTCTTTTAAATCCATTTTTTTCCTCTTCTTATAGCAAAGAGAAGGTGTGTTGGGAGCACCCTAAAGAATCGCTGTCAAAGTATCACATACGGAGCATTAATCTTTTGATTTTTAGCTCTTTTCTATTACTTTGGGGAAAGTCCTCGGACACATGACAGAAAGTGTCGCCCATAATGAGGCATAACCGATTCGTATCAAATGACCTTCCTTACGACCAAAGAAGAGTTTTACTCGAGGTTATTGGAAGTGTCGCGATTCGGTTTTGTTGGTCATAGCACAGTTATGCGATTGTAGCTTCTTTCTGTAAAAGGAGAGAGGTTATAACACAACGAGGCTTACTCTTAGGATGCTCCCACCTGATTTTCTTTACCATTTTTTTTTTTTTTTAAAAAAAATTAACTTAATTGTAAAATCTGACACATTCATTAATTTTAGTTGAACAATTTTGTTTCCGAATGATTATTTTTATATTACGCATAATTAATTAATTTTTCATAATCCCTTTTGATACAAAACATATTTTGAAATTTGTATTCATAAAATTTGTAATTTTTATCATTAAATTAACTAACTTGATGATAAGTTTGTGACAAAAGATATTCTTCCCAACTAATTTTCCCACTTGAAAAAAAGAAGAAAAATGAATTAATTTCATATAATAGGATTAAATTTTATTAAAAATAGTTTAATTAAGACTTACTCATTATCCATGTCATCTTCCAGTAATACATGATCAATCATTTCAATAATTTCTTCAAGTTTCAAAGGTGGTTGTTCATCTTTATTACCAATTATATTATCGGTAAAGGCTTCGCGTAATTCATGACCATCTAAAAATCCATCGTTATTTGCATCATGTATAGAAAATAAATAGTATAAATCATCATCATCTGATATATCTTCAAAAGGAATATCTTTTAAATGATTTTTTATGTGCCTTTACGAAAGAAAAGAGAAGAAGCGTTAATAATATGTTCAATAAATAAAAAGACAAGGTATGAATTCTGAATTAGTATGTTATTTACTGTCTAATTTTTGCGTTGTCACCATAATTATTGTGTTCTCCTTGATAATCAATTTGAAAGCTTGCAAAAGTAAGTAATGGTATAAATATTAAAAATAACAAGAAAAGATTAAACAAAATATTTTTCATGATAAAAAGAATTAAATGATAAAAATAAAAAATTATAAAAAAAAAAATTCCCGATTTTTAATTGCCATGTGGGATGACAAAAAGTTCAAAAAGTTGCTGATCACCGTTTTTCAAACCGGGTTTACATATATTAGGCATTGAACCAACGCGTTGTAATATACTTGTTTCTTTAGTTTCTTTGACGCGTTTTTTTTTAAAATTTTCTCATGAAAAAAGAAAGTATGGATGATTACTATTACTTTGATGATGAAAAATACATTCAGGAAAGTGAGTATGATGAATATAATGGAGAAGGAAGTAGGACAACAGATGAAGAAAGACCTTTAAAACTGTTTCAAGTAGAAGAAAAACAAGGAACAAATGAGAACAATAACGCTAGAAGAGCAAGAACATGTTCTGAAACTTGGAAATATTTTAATACGCAAGATACACAACATCCTACAAAAGTTATTTGTAAAAAATGCAATCAAATGTATTCAAAATCAACTGGATTTAATATTTTGAAAACCCATTTGCTAAGTGTACATGGAATAAAAATTGACAATGTAAAGAAAATGCAAACAGAGTTGAACTTTCTTAAATTTGATCCTTTGCCTAAAGAAGAGAAGTTAGCTCGAGATCAAGCATTGGTGGATTGGATTATAGCAGATTCACAACCAATTTCCGTTGTCACCAACATTCATTTTATCAATTCGATAAAAGCTTTGGATCCAAGATATCATCTTCCTGGAAAAACATCAGTAGAAGAAATGGTTTTGGAACGTTTTAACGAAATGAGAAAAAATGTTAAGTTAGAGATTGATAAAATTCCAGGAAAAGTATCATTAACATCCGATATGTGGACATCAGCACTTACCGATAATTATTTTCTTGATCTCACCATTCATTTCATTGATAAGGAATGGCAACATCAGCATTTCCTATTGGACATCATCTCATTTAATGATCATCATGCTGCCATTAATATTACCGATGCCATCGTATCTATTTTAACTGAATTTAATATAAAAGAGAAAGTATTGGCATTGACAACGGACAACGAAGATACAATGTTAACAGTTGGTCGTTTAGTATTTAAAAAATTAGAATGTGATATAAAAAACCCAGTTTTTAAACATTATCGTTGTGCCGCTCACATCCTTAACTCGGCAGCCCAGCAAGGACTTGAATTAATTGATGATACTATTGTAAAATTACGACGATTAATGAAAAAAATTAAGCAATCGGTAACAATTAGTGATGAATTGAGAAATTTATGCCAGTTTGCAAATATTGATTATCTAAGTCCAGAATTGGATGTAAAGACAAGATGGAATTCGACGTATAACATGTTAAAGAAAATGGAAACAATGTGGAGTGGAATCCAGATGTTGGCCGTAAATAATCAAGAAATACGAATATTAATGCCAACGGAAATAGATTGGAATAGAATCAAGGTCTGTTAATAAATATATGAATAATTTATCGAGAGATTGGAAAAAAATTTTTTTATGGTAAAGGTTGATTCATGCATTTGAGGTAATTCATTTAATATCAACATAATTGAGGGAAAATCTGTTAATTCTGTCATGCTCAAATGACTTGTTTTATTGTGTAGATTTTATGGTGGATAAATACTTTTTCTCGAACTCGAAAATTGAATTTGCAAATACCAATCATTTTACAATGAAATTTTACTTACTAATTTTTAAATTGTATAATTTTGGCAACAAAGGAAACATTGTTTGTCTTGGAACCATTAGAAAAAGCAACCATCTATCTTTCGGCTACACGATATCCAACAATTGCTGATGTTCGGTTTGTATTTCATGGTATAATGGAGCATTTAGGTTACATTATTGAAAGTGATGAATTTACACAAAATGAATTAGCGACTTCAGTAATTCAAAAAATTAGCGAATATTGGACTTTTGTTGGTCAACAAACCTTAGTATCTACGGTACTTGATCCACGTATTAAGCTTTGCCTTTTTGAAACTGGAATACCAACAGCCCTAGCAATTTCAGAAGTAACCTCTTTATTGTCCAATTATCATCATGTACCAATCCTTGAAAATCATGAGACCGAAGTAGAAAGTGAAAATCTACGTCAGTACTTTCAAAGATTAAAAAAACAGCGTTTAAACCATGATAATACCTTCCGGTACTCTTCTGTAGCTTCGTCTGGAAGTTCTACTAAACAATCAAGTTTATCTCCAACAGTTTCGGATGAATTGGACAGGTACTTGGCATTGCAAATCGATGAAAATGTGAATCCACTTCATTGGTGGCGAGCACATGAACCAAAATTTCCAGTTTTGGCACAAATGGCACGCGATTACTTATCTATCCAAGCGACAAGTGTGGATTGCGAACAGATTTTTTCTGTAGCAGGTAATACTATCACCAAAACAAGAAATCGTGTCAAACCAGAAACAGCTAGAGCGACATTATGTGCAGAGTCATGGATTGAAAACGAGATGGGTGTGTCAGGAAAAAAAAGAACCATTTGCTCGAATTAATTGTTTGAAATTGTAATAATAAATTTTTTTCTCGGACTTCACGTGATCGGTTTAAGTTGGTCATGTGTCGAATTTTTAGTTGTTTTCAAACATTTTTTTTTGTCGCATGATATTCGTCATTTCGTCATCCGCGTTTCTTATTTTACGCCATCTTTTTCATAAAATCAAGTCCATTTAGCATTCGATTTATTAATTTCGTTGAAAGAAATATCATTTATTAAATTTTATAATACGTTTTTCTCTATCTAAACACAAAAACGAAATTCGATTGCCATTTCAACTTCAATAACTAGTTTATATCAACTTAATATATTATAAGTATCTAAGGTTGTTGGTTCTATTTGATTCTATTCCAACACATTTTGTGATAGATTGTATTAAATATAAATGATCCTAGGACTGATATTTTTATTACTTATAATATACAAATTCACTTGAGGTCGTGCATGGGAAAGTTCTATTCAAATGATTAGGCTTAAAACAATCGATGTCTTGAATCGGCAATGATCACAAACCTGAATAAGAAACTAATTGATTGGACAGCTCTTTGATTTCAAGATTACTTGTATTAGTCATATTTACAAGTCAAATAGTTTAAACAAAAAGGAAAAAAAAATAAAGGTCTCCAAGACGTGAAGTTTTATTCCAGGAAATTAATTACATACGTTGGGTACTTCTTCCTCATTAATTTCATTTGTTTCAAATTTACTTGAAGCATCCATAAAAATTTCCATTGATCTTCTTGTGTATTTGGGATAGGTCAATCAATTAGAAACATTCAATTGTATGATCGTCATATGGGTTAGTACGTATGATTTATATAGTCCCGCAGCATGATTTTCGTACGTACTAACCCATATAATTCAACCAATTATTGTTGTGGCTGAAAGAAAACGTGTGATTTTCAAGGTATTTTCTTGGCGCATGACCTTAAAAAGGAAACTTTCGGGTGGCTGCGGCACGATCTCGGAAAATGATATTATATTCCGTTATTTTTTTTTTTATATGTAACTTTTATAGCGTTCAAAACAAAAGACTTTTTCATTATTAGCGAATTATATTGAAAATCTGCTGTAAAAAACCCTTCTCTTTTAAGTGAGGTTTTGTTATGGGTTTACATATCTTTTAAATAAACATTTGTCATTATCTCAATTTTTGAACGGGCGGTAATTTCTCCGACTCAAATGTTGAGAAGCAGTACTTCACATGGTTTGGTTCATAGTTTTAATTATTTAATTTAAAAATACTACATCGTCGGACCGATTCGGTCCAATTTGATTCGAACCTTCAGATTGGACCGAGATCGGTCATATGATCGGATCGGGAGCTGCGGCATCATTTGATATATTTATTTGGATGTTTATTAAGGAATATTACACTACTTGATTTGTGAATTTGTGATCAAAAAAAAAAAAAATCAAATATAACGAGAATTTTCTAAAAAAATTTTTTTTTAAAAATTTTAAAAAAAATGGGTTACCCAGGACGAACATATAAAGAAAAATACGGAAAGCGTGACGATTCAATTTCTCAACCACCACCTCAACCACAACAGAAATATTCGCAATATCCACCTGACAATGGTGGATATGGTAGTTATCAAAGTCCACCACCTTCCCAAGGAATTTACCCACCTTCATTCGGACCACCACCTTCCCAAGGAGTTTACCCACCGCCATTAGGACCACCACCTTCTCAAGGAGTTTACCCACCGCCATTCGGACAACCACCTTCGCAAGGAGGTTACCCACCTTCATTCGGACAACCACCTTCCCAAGGTTTTTACCCACCTCCATTAGGACCACCACCTTCACAAGGAGGTTACCCACCTTCATTCGGACCACCACCTACGCAAGGAGGTTATCCACCGCCATTAGGACCACCACCTACGCAAGGAGTTTATCCACCTTCATTTGGACCACCACCTACGCAAGGAGGTTATCCACCTCCATTAGGACCATCAACTTCACAAGGAGTTTATCCCACATCTTCAAGGCCACCACCTCCACAAGCTGATCAAGCATCACATCCGCCAAGAAAAGATAGTTATGCGCCGCCTCCATATCCTCCACCTCCAACGCAAAGTAACTATGCTCCACCCCCATTTCCTCCAACACAAGGACCTCCTCCTCTCGTTGAAAAACCTCCAGGAAAGCAACAAAATCAACCTCCTCCAACGTATTCTTCACCACCTCCAAATACGATTGAGAAACGTCCTAGTGCCGGATATACACCTCCGCCAGGTTATAAATTATATCAAAATACTAATGTCAAACCTTCTTCAAATGTTCAATTATCGAATTGCACAGGTCGTAAGAGAGCTTTATTAATTGGAATCAATTATACTGGTTCACAATTTGAATTAAAAGGATGTGTAAATGATGTAGCTAATATAAAGAAGTTCTTAATTGATTTGTATGGATTTCGAGAAACTGATATGGTCATTTTGACGGACGATCAAAAAGATAAAAAAAAAATTCCCAATAAGGAAAATATTTTACAAGCAATGAAATGGTTGGTTCATGATGCACAACCAAATGATTCATTCTTTTTCCATTTCAGTGGTCATGGAGGCCAAGAGGAGGATAAAAATGGAGATGAGGATGACGGTTATGATGAGACCATTATGCCGTTGGATTTTGTAAAGAAAGGACAGATCGTTGATGATGTCATGCATGATATCATGGTAAAACCGCTTCCACCTGGTGTAAGGTTGACGGCCATATTTGATTCTTGTCATTCCGGTACAGCGCTTGACTTGCCTTATATATATTCAACACAAGGAAAAGTGAAGGAGCCAAATATTTTATCGGAAGGGGGTAATGCTATTTTAAGCGCTGGTAAGTCATATATGAGGGGAGATATTAGTGGTATAAAATCTAGTTTGATGTCATTTGGTAAGAAGGCAACGTCAGGAAAGAGTATTGCCGAAAAAAATAGACAAAATAAATCAAGTCTCGCTGATGTGATTATGTTAAGTGGGTGTAAAGATGCTCAGACATCTGCAGATACAAATGAAGCTGGGGTGAACACTGGAGCCATGTCTTACGCTTTAATCAAAACGTAAGTTATTTTTTTTTTTTTAATCAAACATTTTATTCAATATTTTATTCAAGTTAATGATTTAATTGATGTACATATAATAAATACAGAATGAGAGAAAACAAGAATATTTCGTATCAACAGATGTTAAATTCGGTTAGAGACATCCTTGCATCGAAATACTCTCAGAAACCACAATTAAGCGCGTAAGTATTCTTAAAATTTTTATGTATGATTTTATTTATTCTTTTCTAAGAAAAATCAATTTTTTTTTTGTAGATCACATGAAATGGATATGAATTTGATGTTTTTAATATAGGATTGATATAGGATTTACATGAACAATATACTTTTTTTTTGACAATATAGAACATTTTGGAATTTCATTATTTAAATTACATTACTGTGTAATGAGTGTATAATAAACACCTGGTTTTTTTTTTTTTTTTGGTTTATTTAAATTTGTAATATTTATTAAAATAAGAGAATAAATAAAAAAAAATCGTTATCAAAATTTTATCTAGTAAATCTATATATTCTATCTATTGAGCTATTTTTTTATTGTTGTTTTCCTCGTTTTTAGATTGATTGATTAATCTAAAATTCCTGGTATCATCATCGCTTTTTAATGCAACTTTACTATTTCTTAATCTTTCAATGCCTTTACCAACATTTTCGATATGTAATTCAACCGGCATCTCGATGATACTAGGTCTAGAAACATGTTCACGTAATTCTTCCATATCTAATTGATAAGAGGTTAAACTGTACAAAGTAGTTTGTACTTGTGAAACGGCCATACGACGCTGTTTATCTAAATCCCTTAATAATTCGAAGTTGTCTTGAAATATATTTTTTTTCACTACATTAAAACCTATTCTAGACCATAATTCCGCTAACAATTTATTATGTTCGGTTTTTTGATACGTCGATTCATACGTTGCTAAATCATGTAATGATAACAACATTTCATCTAAATCTGTTAAACTAAAAAGAAAAAAAAAATTTAATAAAGTTTTTCTTTTTTTTATTTTTAATTTTTTCTTAAAAAAAAAAAACTGATCCCTTCCTTTATTTACCTTCCAAGGGCATCTTGACTAACCAAGATCATTCGTTTTAAATCGCTTTCGATAAGGGACATCATTTGATTATAAGCTACCGCCAATTCATTCGAACTAGCTTTATTATCCCTAACATCTTCTAACGCTTTTAAAGCAAATAAATTATAAGTAATCAAATTGTCTAAAGAACTTCTCGTTCTAGCTTGAAGCAATTGTAAATTTCTACCAACGATCCTTGCCTTATCTACAAACTCTGTTAACCTGTCAACTAATTCATTTGATGTGGTTAATGAGGAATATTTTATCAAGGTTCTTAAATCTGCCGTGGCCAATTCAGCCTTTTTAATGTCCAATGCTAATGATGATGATGGACCATTATATGATAATTGTTGATCCATGATTTGTTCATAGGTTTCTACTTGTCTATTAACTAATCTTGAGAAATCCGGTATGGGAGTTTGACATAATGGGATATATGATACAATTGGAATTTTACATATTACTAAAGAAAGATCTTGTTGAAATTGAAAAGTATCTGACAAAAATGCCAATCCAACCCAACCAAGGTATACCGCCAGTATTATTGAAAATATCGGTTTTAATATAGAAAGAGCCCCAACCAAAATATCTAAAACATTGAAAAAAATTTTTTTTTTTAGTTCAAATTTGAAACAAAGTACTTTTTATATGAAACACGTTCTTATTCATCAAATACATGCCAACACAAAAGTTTAAAGGTCCTAGTACGGTTGCTGAAGTATTGCTCTTATTTGACATTTTTTTTTTTTTTTATGTTTTATGAGAAAGAATTGAAAGAACGATAAAAAAAAATATGGCGGAAAAAAAAAGTAGTACGCTAGGTATACAAAGGTTGCATTTCGTGTACGCATCTCGTTACACAGGTGATCATTTATTTTATTCCTGGTAAGAAAGATTAACTTGATCATATTCGGACTTCTAAACAATAATAAATGTTCGATCATTGATCATTATCTCGGTTCGTCGTTTTCATCGCGATCATTTTTGAATTTTTTTCTAAAAATTTAAAGATCACGTTATAAACTAAAAAAATAAGTTCACGTTTTAATTTTTAATTTCAATATACTGTATATATATATATGATATTTTTTTTTATAAAGTACCAATTCCATTATAAAAATTTTTAATTTTAATTTTTTTGTTTTTGTTTTTGGTGTTAAATGATTTAGGTTTTTTTTTATATGTTAGGGGGGCATACTATATATATAAAAACAAAATTTGAAATATATAAAAGAAAATTAGCTATACATAATTATTTTTTTTTTTTAAAAAAAAGGGAAAATTTACTCTTACAGAGATAATAAAAAAAAAAAGGGAATCAAGATACAATTGAAAGAAAAGGGAACTCATATATATGATGAACAAAGAAAAAATTTACAAATGTACAAAAAAATATATATATATTTTGGTTTTTTTTGTTTTTTTTTGTTTTTTTTACCTAATATATATAAGATATTTAAGGTTTTATATAATACATAGAAATTTATATTTCTTCATAGGTTGTGATCAAATATAATTTTTTTTTTTTGTTAATAAAGATAAAAATATTTGCTATATATACGTATTTATAAAATAGTGTTTTTTTTTTTTTTTTTTTTGTTGTTTTTATCGTTGGCGATGAATAAAATATATAATAATAATAATATGAAATTCGTCGAAGTAGAGAGAAAGTATCGAAAATGAAAAGGTAAAGCGAGAATCGTTAAAAAAAAAAAAATTTCGAAGGAAAAAAGTATGGTTCGAAATAGGATTCGAAATTTTTTTTTGAAAAAAAAGGAATCGGGACTGGATGCTTTTTTTTTTTTTTTTTTTTTGGCGAAATTTTATTTAAACGTGAGTATTAGAAGCCATGTCAATCGTGGAATTTAATGCAGAAAGCGATTTTTTTATTGCAGGAGGAGGAGGTAAAACACAAATAGTTGTATTATTTCTAAGATTATCTATGTTAATGATCATTGGAGACCGTTGATAATATGGAGATGGCTTTCTGTAGAAAGGATACACGAAACTCTTGTTTGAAACGATAGAAGCATTACTGCTATCAGTTGGCGTCGAAGAACCAGAAGAAGAAGTGGGTGATGCTGGAGGCGTAAGTGAAGAGTACGCCGAAAGGCAGTCTTTAAACCTACATTCTTCGCTACAGTAAAGGGTACCCTAAAAGTTACAAAGAAAAAATATTGATTGGAAAAAAAAACAATTAAGATGGGAAACAAATAAATTCGATTAAGAATGATTTAGAACGAATTTTGATATTTACCTGGGTCTTTTGTTCACAAATCAGGCACCAGTCAAGATCCATTTCGAATCAGCGAGCGGATAAATAAACGTAAAAGAATAATATATACACGTCAACAAAAAGAAATTTTCTTTTTTAATTTCTTATTGTTGGTAAAAAAAAAAGAGGGCCAAAGCGACAATTGGTGAAATAGTAAAGAAATGAAAAGTAAGTAAATTTGGATGTAGTGTGTCTTTTATAAAATGAAAGGTCCGTCGTTCCGTTTTTTTTTCAGAGACAAAAAGGGAAGGGCCGACACACTCCTTTTACTTTTCAGTACTAATGCGTCACCGCCTTCTTCACTTTTTCAAGGGACGGAAAAAAAGAAGAAAAGGGTGTGGGAAATTATAACAATGGCAAAGAAGAAAGGGTATTTATATTTATTCCATCGAGCTTATTGAACTTGACTGCATAAACTAATAATTAACAATTTGGCTTTGTTTGTATGTGTGAACAGTGCTCGGGTGTTGAAATTATAGTGACAAAATTGAGTGTAACGGAGAATGATGAAGAAAGTGATAACGTGCAGATAAAACACACCCAGGTGACCAATTTGTGTTCCGATAAGGTTGGTATTGCGAAAATCTCAACCGAGTTAAGACAAGAAAAATACTCAAATGACTTTAAGGAGGAGGATGCAATCTGAACTAATGGTTTTTTTTTTTTTTTTTTTTTTGAATATTCCGAAAATAAATAAACAAACATGATTATAACCGATCTGTAAATAATATACCATATCAGATATAGGTTGACCGCGCATCATAAAGAATGATTGATTTATTAGCTAGAAGCAATAAAGTTAAGCGTGGCTTCAACCAGATGCACGCGCGGGGAAACGTTTCATTTTTGGGAGAAAACGAAATGGCGGGGAGTTCATATTTTATTATTTGTCAGCAAATTATCACGGAAAATTAAGTATCTGTTCTGATCGCATTGTTCGCACAAGCGAATGAATTCTCGAGGTAAACAAAAGTGAAAGCATAAATGGTTGTTGACAGCTCTATTGGATTGAATTTTTTGCTTTGTTTTGCTACTTCTTCGCTCTGTAATTTGTTCTCTCTTGGAATACCACATGATATTGCAATTACTGTACCCACGCACCTTGAAGTCTCTTTTTTGACAGCTGACTGAATTTACGTGGTACAACGCCGTTAATATGGCATAATACCGGGTAACTACATAAACATAAAAGCACTTCGCCACATGATACATTAAAACTGTTATCAATGTTATCGAAGCGAGATAGAGTAAGGGATTGAGAAGGGTATTTTGAAGTGCAGATTAATTTCAGCAATGATAGGTATTTAAAAATACTCATTTAGGAAAGCTTAGAAATATGTGTGATCTCATGATAATGTTAATTTGTTGCATTATATCCTAAATTCTTCATGGAAAATATTCATGGGTACATGGTTAAGTATATATATATATATATATTGCTGACTGATAAGCAAAGAAACGAAATTTCGTGGGGTTCTTGCGTCAAATGTTCTCAAGAAGAAAAAAAAATTTTTTTTATTTATGGAATACAATGGGTTTCTGAGTCAGTCCATGTGCAAGAATCCCTGTATCAGTTACATTATTACAGTATCGATCTTCATAAAAAAAATTTTTCCCAATCATTATGCATTGTGATATGATGATAGGAAAAATTTTTTTTTTTGAAATGCAGAGTCACCCACGTTTTAGTCCAATCGCTGAAATAATTCTCACGCGTTACTTTTCATATTCGTATCAAACAGATTACTCTCATTCTATTTTTATGATTTTTAAATTTTCTCGATAATAATACCAGGTATTTTTTTTTTTTTTTTTTTTTTGAGACGATCCTATCACCTCAAATGTTAGTTATTGCTGTATATGTTTTTAAGTGATATCATAACACCTTTGATTTCGCAGTAAATCCTTTCTACAAACGGTTATATACTCATTATAGCATTTCATTATTTGCTCCGAAATTTAGTTTTTTTTTTTTAAAAAAAAAAAGGTTTCGATCATGTTACTTGTATAATTTTTTTTTCATGGATGATATTTATCCATATAAAGGACAATGTGAATTTTTGGAATTTACCCCGCGTATTTACCAAAGTGAACTAGACTTTATTTACTTTGTTTCGAGAAATGTGCATGTTGATCAACTTTTCATTATAATGTATATATATATATATAATATGGATGATCATATATATTAGAAGTAATGTAAAAAAAATAGGATCAAAAGATAGATAGATTAAGTTTCTTTTAACTCGCTCGGACAATCAATTTGTCTATGAGGATGTGCCGCCTTGAATGCATCCAATTCTAAACATTTGATGTAAATACGATGAATGATCGGAAATTTCGTCATGTCCACTTCAACCCTACAAATAATAAATACTGTAAATGATGATATCGTGTAAATAAATCGAATGTGATCACGTGATTCATACCTGAGGGCATTGTAAACTTGAGGTACAAGACAAACATCTGCAAATGTAACCTCATCGCCCATGCAATACTCTTTTGCCGTGGAAGAAAGTTGAACTTCAATGACTATAAAAGAAAGATTAAATTTTCTCGTATAAAAAAAATTTTAAAATCAAAATTTTACATATTATTATTTACATTGAAAATTATATGTCATCCAATATTTAGGCCATTCTTCTTTTCCTGCGTATTTTATGACTCTTAAATTAGTGATGGGTTGCGTATCACTTGCAATCGCCTGAACCAACGATCTAACCTAAAAAAGGCAAGACAAAAAATGAACGTTATCTGACAAAATAAATCGACATACATTTTATTTATAATGTATAAATTTCATACCAAGGCTCTCTTGATAGGGTCTTTCGGTAATAAAGGCTTTTCCGGCCTGGTTTCTTCCAAGTATTCAAGGATGGCGATAGATTGAGTCAACAACGTTCCATCAATTTCCAACGTTGGAACAACTTGAAATGGATTAAGAAATGCGTATTCCGATGTTTTCTATTTAAGGGAAAATATGGATTTTTTTTTTTAATTAACAAACTTCATTTTAATCTTCAAAATCGCACTTAATATCACACGTACTTGCTCATCCTTTATTAAACTGATTGGTATGGTTTCATAATCAATTCCTTTCCAATTTAAAGTTGTACGAACACGCCAAGAACAAGAAGAACGATAATATGAATAAAAAGTTGGAAGATTCATTTTATCTCGGTTCATCCGACTTTATTGAAGGCACTTTCAATTATTATTAGTAGATTTTTAAAGAAAAATACAAAGAATCTATATATACACAACAAATTTTTACCTTTACAAAACGAAAATAAATTTCATACAAAAAAGGTGAGGCTGAAAATGTTTCATATATATATTTCAATGGTGATCACTGATAAATTTGATAAATTGATTCATTTCGAATTAGCCTTATTTTTTTTTTTCATTCAGATAATGCTTTGGATATTCAAAACGATAACTCCTCGAAAAAATATAATTGCCCGGTAAAATCTTCAGATTAATAATGGTTATGATATAACCGGCAAATAAATCGATCCAACAAATTATATGAAGTCACGTGGAGTGGACTGGTACTACGGATGGCTTAGCAATCGTTTTTTTCATGTTTCTTTCAAAAATCTTCACCTTGATCAAAAAAATCAAAAAAAAGACACTTAATTCTGATATCATACATTGAATCATTTCTTAAAGGTAAAAACAATATTTTTTAGATTGACACGATTTTAGATATAAAAAAATTGGGTTTCTTGAGACGGCACTTTTGTTATTTTTGTTATTTACTATTTAGTATTATTTTTATTATTATTTTTATTTTTATTTATCGAATTAAAATTCTTGGAATAAACAGAAAAAATGAGTTCTTATATAGTTCGAGCGGGAGGAACTCACCTTAAAATTTGCATAAATAATGCGACTTGTTTTCGTGGTTCTATAAAACAAGGCATTTATTTAACTAGGTCTTGTTCTTACCTTGCTTCAAAAACTATCAATTATATAGAGAGAAACGACAAAAGTAGTTTGAGTAATTTAGCAAAAAGTACAAGATTTTTCAATGTTGAGAAAAAAAACTTTATAAGAATGTATGCAACAGAAACAAATCAACCACTTGATAATAAAAAAAGTGATAAGAATCATGAAGGGGATAAAGAAAAAAAGAGTGAGAAACAAATTGAAATTAAAGTTCCCAAAGGATTTGAGAATTTTTTTAATAAAAATTCACAAAGGTTAAAACATCAAGTTTCGACATCTGATAATAATGATGATAATAATAATAATAAGGGTGAACAACAAAAAAAATCCTCAAAGCAACCTCCAAATGTTAGAGAATTTAGCATGCAGTTGAATTCCAATACATTGCTTCCACTTTTGTTTTCCGCATACATCTTGTACAAGATTACCAGTAGTGTTGATAATTCTCGTGAGATCACGTGGCAGGAATTCAGGACGGCATTTTTGGATAAAGGTTTGGTGGATAAATTGGTGGTGGTCAATAGGAAAAAAGTTCGAGTATATTTGCATTCAAATGCTACGGGACAAATGTATCCAAATGCTCCTTCCTTACCGGTAACAACTTATTATTTCAGTATAGGATCCGTGGAGGCATTTGAACGTAAATTAGATTCTGCTCAAAAAGAATTGGGAATCCCTTCAACAGAACGTATTCCGGTGGCATATCATGATGAGATTAGTTTATTAAATACATTATTACATTTTGCGCCGACGCTGCTTCTAGCTGGGGCATTGTTTTACATTACAAGGAGAGCTGGTGGTGCCGCCGGTTCACAAATTTTTGGAATTGGGAAATCTAAAGCTAAATTATTTAATCAAGAAACGGAAGTTAAAGTCAAGTTTAAGGATGTGGCGGGTATGGATGAAGCCAAAGAGGAAATCATGGAATTTGTTAAATTCTTAAAAGATCCAACAGCTTATGAAAAGTTGGGAGCTAAGATACCAAAAGGAGCCATTTTAAGTGGACCTCCAGGTACGGGTAAAACTTTACTTGCAAAGGCTACCGCGGGTGAAGCTGGTGTTCCATTCTTAAGTGTGTCAGGATCTGAGTTCGTTGAAATGTTTGTTGGTGTTGGTCCATCTAGGGTACGCGATTTATTTGCAAATGCGAAAAAGCACGCACCTTGTATAATATTTGTGGATGAAATTGACGCGATTGGAAAGTCTCGAGGGAAGATTGGTCAATTTGGTGGAAATGATGAACGCGAGAGTACGTTAAATCAACTGCTCGTAGAATTGGACGGGTTTGGATCTAGTGAGCATGTCGTCGTTTTAGCAGGCACGAATAGACCTGATGTATTAGATCCCGCTTTAATGCGTCCAGGTCGTTTTGACAGACATATCGCCATAGATAAACCAGATATCAAAGGGAGAAGTGCAATATTCAAAGTACATTTGAAACCGATAAAAACCAAGGAAAATGTTGATCGTCTTTCAAACAGATTAGCCGCATTAACACCTGGATTTTCTGGTGCTGATATAGCTAATGTTTGTAATGAAGCCGCGCTTATTGCAGCACGTTATCAAAAGGATTCCGTTACTGAAGAACATTTTGAGCAAGCGATTGATCGCGTTATTGCCGGTTTAGAAAGAAAATCTCGCGTGTTATCTCCTGAGGAAAAAAAGACCGTGGCATATCATGAAGCAGGACATGCGGTTGCTGGATGGTACCTGGAGCATGCAGATCCTATATTAAAAGTGTCTATTATCCCTCGTGGTGTCGCAGCACTTGGTTATGCTCAATACTTACCAAAAGATCAATATTTATATTCTACCGCGCAATTATTGGATCGTATGTGTATGACATTAGGTGGAAGAGTATCAGAACAAATATTTTTCAACATGATAACGACAGGTGCACATGATGACTTACAAAGGGTCACAAAGTTGGCTTACGCTCAGGTTACCATTTATGGTATGAATCCAAATGTAGGCCCATTATCTTTCAATAATCCTAATGATAATGAACCTCAATTTCAAAAGCCTTATTCTGAGGAGACCGCTAAAATGATTGATGAAGAAGTTCGTAAATTAGTGTCGGTAGCATTTGAAAGAACGATGAAATTACTTATGGATAAAAAGAATGATGTTGAAAAGGTGGCACAATTGTTACTTTCCAAAGAAGTATTGAATCGAGAAGACATGATATCATTATTAGGAAAAAGACCTTTTACCGAAAAGCATCCCTATGATGATTATGTTAACCAATCCGAAGATAAAGAAAATACACCGTTACCGAAAGATGAACAATCACATCCATCCCCGAACGTATAGTTATAGTTGATATTTATATTTTATTATTTACGTAAATTGTTAGAATTATAAATTTTTAATTTTTTGTCATTTAAGTAGTAAAGGGTGCAAAAAAAAAGAATTTTTTTATTATTATTAATCATAATAAATGATAATACTTTGATCTCATCGTGATCAATTATTGAAATCACGGGTAATATTTCTTCATTTAGTTAGAATCTTTTAATAATTCGACAGGGTAAGTATCCAATTAAAATTCTCTTTTTTGAAAATTCTCGACTCAAACAATTTTTTTTTCTTCCTCTCTTGATCATAGTGGTACGGTTCGGATGCTTCGCCGCATTTATCCTAAATGAACTCCATTTCATTTCATTTCATTTACTGTTGATAAAAATTTTATGATTACATATTTTTAATTAAATTAGAATCGAATAACTCTAATTAATTACACAATGTATTAATATATTCATTCAACTTACTAAAAGACAAGAGGATTATAATAATTAAAGATATTAAAAATTTGCAGAAGGGCACATATTGCTAACAGGACAGCTAGAACATTTTGGATATCTTGGCAAACATGTAGTTTGCCCAAATCCAACAAGTATTGGGTTTATTTCTCGCCATAATGACCTTGGAAGCCATGATTCCAATGACTTCATATAATATAATAAAGTATTTTTTAGTAAAGTTACTTGAACTTATAATATAACCCTATTTTTACCTGTCGAGTGTTTTCTGGACCAACTTTTTCTGTTTTACACCAGCCAAGCCGATTTGATATTCGGTGGACATGAACGTCAACGCCTATGCCTTGATTTCTGATAATTATAAATCCATGATAAAATTAGATATAATTAAACCAAAAACGATCAAAGTTTACTTACTGTTTCCAAGCAACTTGCATACAAAGATATGCCTATTATTTTGAACAAATTCAGAAAGGTTTATTATAAAAAAAAAAAAAATTTTTATAAAAATACAAACCATCTTTGGTCCAACTCCGGGTAATTTCATTAAACCTTCAACAGTATCGGGTATATCATTGTCATATTCTTCTTTACATACTTTAGCTGATTGTTTCAAATATCTGAAAGGGTGCATCATGTTTTATTTTCACTAAAAATATGATCCCTTTATTTCAATGCTTTTTTTTTTTTATTTTTTTTTTAAAAAAAAAAAGTTAGGAAGATAAGACTGTCGTGTCGTACTTACTTGGCTTTCTTACGGTGAAAACCTACCTTAGAAATACATTCGTCTAAGAATTCCTCTTCGGCTTGTAATATGCTATCCAAGTTTAACCCTCCCGGAAGTTTTTGACGAAGATTTTGAATTGCTGCGGCAGTAACCTGATCTTTCGTTTGCGAAGAAAGCATCAAAGCTACAAGAGACTGAAATCTTGATGTCTAAATATAATTGAATTTGTTTAATATACATATGTATGTATGCTATACAATCAGATTTAATGGATATGAAAAAACCTGTGGTGTGATAATATCAGATGGTTCGTCAGCCAACCTCTCACAACCCATTGTATCTACGGGAGCTACGATGCTTTGGCGAAATTCTTTAATTGCCGCGTATACAATATCCCAATTGACAGGTGGTTCCTTGTCCAAACTTTTTTCTAATTTATCTATCAATTTTTTCGATGGTAAAGCATTGGATAGATTTGCTGTATCAGTAGAAGACTCTTCCGTTTGAATGATTACATGTTTGATATGTTTACGCGCTATTTGACGCTTCGCTGGTTTAGGTGGTGAATTGCTGGGTACGTTAAACTCGGTATCACTTGTTTTCGAACTGAAGTATTTTGAAGTTGATTCTGTTGGACTTAGGGGCGAAGCTTTATTATCTGTTGCAAAGACGCTTGACCTTAATTTGATTCTGCTTTTTGGCATTTTAAAGACCCTTAGAAAAAAAATTTTATACAATTTTATTTTAAATTCAGAATAAAAAAAATTAGATGCAAAAAAACGATTGTTGAAAAATTATCTAACGTTTTGATCAAAATATGCTGCGCTAAACTCAAATTATGCCTGCTTTATATAGTAAGATATGCAAGTATAAAATATGCTTGTAAAATTGACCAATCATATAAATCATATAATAAAACTTAATTATTAAAAATATCGCATACATAAAATAATTTTAATAACCTATTTTTGATATAAAAAGAAACATTCGAAAAAGTACCATTATTAAATATTGGTAATCCATCTAAAGGATTTGAATTTAAAGAAATTTCTTGAAGAGATGTTTGTGACATTGAATGATCTTTATTAATATTATTTTGAATAAATGAATTCATTTGTTCAGAAGATAATTTGGTATCTGTAATATTAATCAATGTATTTAAAGTATTAAGTTGTTGGTTTTCATTGATTTTTTTTTAAGCCCGAACTCCCTGAACACTCTTATGACCAGTATGTTATATAATAGCTTGTTCAGAAATTTCTTGATCTTGTAAAATTTATGTAGTAGTTTTTCATCCAGAATGATTAGAAAGTAATCCAATAGGAAAATCAATTTGAGTTTGGATAAATAAATTGAATATCTGAACATGGACCAAATAGCATGCAGTTTGTTATGCTTTTTTAATCATAAATTAGTATTGGCATGTATCTATAATTATAAATTAATTCAATAAACAATACCTGATTAAAGAAAGTTAACCATTATCTGCTAGTGTCAATTTTTTAGTGTAGATTGAATAAATTACTTATGATGATTTCGATTGTTATTTATTTGTATTGTTTATTATGTTTATTATCATCAGCATAGAATAAATAAATGCGATACATAAAAATCCATAAAAATAAATACAATTAAAGCATTTACATATGAAAATGCCTGTTTATCGAGATTACTGCCATATATTTGATGGGTTTTCTTTAACCTAATGTAAACTTATATGGTGTAAATCAGCTATATATATTATGGGTAGGTATAATGCTATTGATTTCGTAAAAAGCATATTTTCACAATCATCAGCAACTTGACAATGGAACCTTGTTTAGTTGTTTAGTGATTTGGTGTAGACAAGAACCATTTTACATATGTTAGATAATATTTACGTTTTTCTATTCAGAAGGTTTACTTCATGTTCAAAGTAGAATTGTACTTGATCAGGATACACATCAGAAACATTGTTATCGTGAATAAACCTCGCAAGAATGAAAGGATTCTTGTAAAATCATGGTATCTGAAAGTCTCAGTACAATCCGTATTCTCCTAAATTAGTTGATATTTAGTTTAACAACAGTCTGTTGACCAGAATGTTGTATATTTATTTGAACCAATTCTGTGATAGTTACAAAACCTGCTCATAGGCTACGTTGTAATATTCTACCAGAATATTATAAATGTTATCTAGTAAGTTTACATTACTTTTTGGGGAGATAACATCTCCTCCTGAAAAAGTTACTAAACCCATAATAGTATCATCTATCTCCAGATGATAGATTTGCAGAAAATAAGCTAACTCTGCAAATATGAAATTGTCATAGACTGTTAACTTTCCACAGTTGTTTTTGGTTGTAAAAACTTCAAGTATTCTACAAACGTCTGATTATCCAAATGACATGATATAAGGTCATCCAGTCTCTGAATATATTGAAACAATTTTTCATTTCTGAACATTTGCATTGCGCTGAAGAAGAAAAAATTATAATAAAGTACCATTAGTATTTTTATCTGATTATTTTACTGGAAAGATAATAAACACCCAATGGCAGAAGCATTAAAACTATATTTTGTAAATTTTAATGATTACTTTGTTGAAAATTTGCATAGTAAAATCAGAGCAAATACAAACACACATGATAGTGTAGAAAGTATTATCACTCAAGCTTATATTATAGGTAAGAAAGTATATCTAATTAATTAAAAAAGATTAAATTATTAACTTTTTTTTTTAGATAACAATAAAATACAAATACTTAAAGATAACTTTCTAAGACAAAAAGATATCTATATACACCTTCAACTCTAGATTATCTTACCAAAAAACAATAGTATTTCTTCTTCTTCATTTTTAAAAAGTATTTACTACACAAGGTCAAAGTTATCTTGCTGTGCAGAAATGATATCCTCTTTATAAATTAATTGCTTTTGATACTATTGTTGATGTCCAATGCTTGCCAACTGGATTTAACACAACACATTCTCCTTCACCTAATAATTGTGATCTATGTAACCAATAGATAATCCTATATATGATGGAGAAGTATTAATTTGTGGATATGGTTATTATTAGGAATGCTTTAGATACTTGAAATATTGTTATAAATATTGTGAAGAATATTATAAAAAAGGTATTGTAACAAATGTTAAATCTTTTTTACAAAGATTGGAAAAAGGTTCTATTTTACTCACTGAAGAAAATAGAGGGTTGGAAGAAGAAGAAGAAACACAAGAAGAGAATGATAGAATAGAAGAAGTGAATGAAGAAGTATTGATAGATTTAGCCATAAAAAGAGAATTAGCAAATATTTGTAATTGGTAATGTAGAAAAATAAAAATAAAATGTTTCATAACATACCTTTTTTTTACATACAAATTTATAGTTATAAGCTTAGTAATAAATAGTACTTAAGTTACTTATAAAAATAAACTGATCGAATTGAATCACCAAAGTCATTTAAACGAAGAAAAGTATATTTTAATATATGTAAAGTTTTATATAGTCAAGCTTAAAGAAAAAAAACCACCCGATATGAAATGATTTTTCAATAGATTTTACAATAAGCATAATATAAAAAATGATTGTCATACTATAGTCCCTGATGAAAAGAATAGCGGTAAAATCCGCATCAATTTTTATGCTGTGGATTTACCGCTTTTCAGAATTAAGCATTGATTATATGCCCAAATCGGACATTGGAAT